GAGAATTATTCAACCAACTAAAATGTGCTCTAATTCTATCTTAAAAATTGAATGCAAGTACATATATTTTTTATTAGCATCATTCTATACATCTTATAATTTAATGTTTGTATATCCAACAATTGATGTAAAGAAAAAATGAGTTGTTTTATATCACCAGAAGATGCAGTTGATTCTACTCAGTCCCTATTTGAAGGGCATAAGAAGAAAAAAAACATGTATGGAGATTATCAACATTGCTAATGGCAATCCATTCATTTCATGTTTGTTTTGAATCCGTTGCAAAAAAATTTATTTTGCGAATTCCAAATCATGACTTCAAAATGAGATACATAAGTTTCACAAGATCCATCAAATTTGCCAAAAATTGTCATAATCATATTCAAGTCGTGCGTTCTAGAGACTTTACAGGTTTCTAGATCTTTACAGTATTTTAGTTTCCTTCTTTGTCAATTTAATACTTATTATCAAAGTATTTCTCATGTTTGAGTTACGACTTCATTTTATCGTAAATGTTAAAGTGTATGATATAGGAAATTCATCATATAAATGTGAATATTGCGTAGCAGTAATGTGGAAGGATGAAAGTACAAAACCCTCAAGAAATTCTAATTACGCCAAATTTCAATTATGTTGCAGAGCAAGCAAAGTGAATCTCACTCCTCGAAAGCATAATCTAGAGGTTTAAAATATCATATTGCAAGCAAATACTTCAACGAGTTGTCACTTTTTGGAACACACATGTGCCTACATCGGGTATTCTCATTAACTTCTATTATACGTAAACTTGACCTATTTATAAATGATGTACGTGTAGTATATTTTTATCCTATTGAAGGTCAAGTATAAAATCAGTTGATACCCTGGTACCTATTGAAAGGAACATACCAAAATTATCTCAACTGTACACAATGATACTGACAAGTGACAATGAAGTCCAAAAATGATCATATTTTTTCTTTAGAAATCCATTTTCGAATCCTTTGCATAATACGATTATTCAGCAATTGTAGGATATGGTAGACTTGAGTAATATATTAGTACAAATATTTTGACATGTAATGAATAAATTGAATGACACCACGATTGTTAATGTGTGCGCTTTGGTTGAGGTTGAGCATTAAGATTGGATTAAAAGCAATCAAACAAAGCAGCGACAACATTGTTACAAAGTTCTTTTAAATTCTTACTTCATAGGTGATTCAAACCAGCTCAAGTGGAAAACATATCATTTTGACTTCATCACACAGAATGTAATTCTCGATGCAAATATAAAAGTTTCGAGCAAGCTATGATGATTTATGGATGGGCAGTAAAGCTAGATCTTTCTGATATATTTTCATGTAAGCCTGATTGGTTGGATATCCAATACATGGTTGTTTTACAAAAGGACTAATTAATTCTAGGAAAGATCCTAATAGAGTTGATGTCATCGCAAGAGTTTCTAAGCTAAAGCTAAATCAATTGATGAATGAGAATTGTGTTTGAGAAGACATACATGTAAGTTATATTCCATAGGTTTACTTTTAATAATTCTTTAATCATTAGTTGTTTGGTAATCATTTTCAGTTTAGATGGCTATCGAGAATTTCTTTCACTTCAAAAGTGTTTGGATAATGAATTTTTGAAAAAATGTGGTCTACCTCATACCCATTTATTAGTATTCCTAGATGTGGAAGATAGATTCCATTGTCCTTCGAAACTATATTCAATTTTATTTGTTGAAATTTTTTTTTTCGTTGAATCTATTTGTTGAAATTTCACATCTAAGTAGATCTTGAATTTTATGAAGCTGTTACAAATTATATGTTTCATGGTTTATGTGGCATTCGATGGCGTAAAGATCCATGTGCGTCGAATAGTGGGTGTTCTAAATGTTTTCCTAGAGAGTTCCGTGAGCAAACAACTACTAATGACAATGGTTTTGCAAGTTGTTAGCGTCCAGAGAATAACTACTCATTCATGGTGAGTATGATCTCACTTGATAACCAGTTCATTGTTCCTTATAACATATACCTATTATTACAATTTCAAGCTCATATAAATCGGTCATAGCGATAGAAAGAAAATTGTGGAAAATATTGGATGAGATAAATTCTACTTTAGCAAAAAATGGAGCTTTATATTTGAGAATATTTTACAATTAATATTTTAGTTTGATCAAATGCAAGAGAAGAAATAAAATAGAATTGGAATACAATAGAATAAGAAAGAGACAATTTATAATTGATATGGAGGTATAACTAATGAAGATGAAGACTATTTTATTGGTGAAAATGAGGATATGCTCATGACAGAGGAAAAGAAACAAAGCCAACAAAATATGCAGTATTTTCTATCAAAGTGGAGTAAATAGAAGTGTAACTTGAACACGATTTAGGATTTGGCTCCTTGGTTCCAAGTATGTCATTTATGCTAAAGATTTTAGCTGATGAATCGGTTAGGGTGTAAAAAATTACTATGATGTTAATCCTTTTGCATATTGCCAATTATTAAATAATTAGGATTATCTTATGCTAAAAAAAATATGTATCCAACCAACTGGTCAGGTCCATCTTGCTTCGAACAATTTGCATCGGTTGTTTTATACCATTTGTGAAATGCATCCGGCCAACAGGCCGGGTTCTAATTCTAGTTACCATAATAAGGAGTTTACCCACGTCGGCCAATTTACCCAACCCTACGCCGGCTCCTCAAATTCCGTTGTTTGTTCCTCCCTCCCCAATCACGACAGTAAGTCGCTCCGTCTGACGTCAGCGCTCCCGGCTGCTGCTTTACCATCCTTTCCCCCGCTCCTGCTACGCCGGCTGCTTCGCCCGACGTAGGCGCTTCCTACAGCAAGTAGTATCTGCGTCCGACGTTAGTGATCCCCGCTGCTGCTTCTCCATCCTTTTCCCCGCTCCAGCTTCGCCCTCCGCTCCCCAGCTATCTCCGTGCGGCTTGTAGCAATCCTTCGGCGTAGGATACAGCTGTCGCCGCTCCCCTTGCCTCGCAGTCGTAAACCTCCAGCGTAGACTACAACTCAACACCAGTAATATTTATAAAGGAAGAAATTATTGATAATGAGTAAGGTCAAGTGATTGATAATGAGTAAGGAATCATCAATACCATTATCTTACATAATAACTATTGATTCATAACACTTCATTATAACTTACATTATTAACATTTTAATCCAGGTTATTAACATTCTAACAAATTATTGTTAAACTTTCAAGAGTATTAAGCTACATTATCAACATTTTAACTTTCGTTATTAAAAGTTGTTTTCATTATAACTTACGTTATTAACATTTCAACCTACATTATAATCACTTTAACCCACGTTAACATTTTCAGCTACGATATTATCATTATAAGCCACGTTATTATCATTTTAATCTGCGTTATTAATATTTTAAGCTACGTTATTATCATTTTAACCCATATTATTAACATTTTAAGCTACGTTATTATCATTTTAATCCACGTTACTAACATTTAGTTCTCATTCTAATTTACATTATTAACATTTTAAGATTCGTTATCTACTTTTCCCTTACGTTATTAACGATTATAAGCAATGTTATTAACATCATCACCCAAAACAGTTATTAACAAATTAGTTATTAACATTTTAACACGTAAATATTTAGCAAATAAAAGGGCTTTCGCTGATCCCATCACGCCGAGCACGGGAAGCTAGACGCCGACAAGGACGAGAAGATGGACGGTGACGAGGACGGGAATCTGGCGAGAAGAATTGACGGCGTGATGGAGAGGGGGAATTAACTGCGTAATAGCAAGGGGAATCGACGGCGTGCTTGTGACGGAAGTGTAGGTGTGGTCGAGCGCGAGACCAACCGATTCTTCTTCGCCTTTCCTTTGCTTTCTCGCAGCTGCAAGAAACCCTAATCGAACCAGAGAGATCAAGTGTAGATTCACAAAGTGGTAAAGGTGAATTGATAAAATAATTTGTTCTCTATTTTGATAAACGAAATGGACTGTTAAAAATATATCGGACCGGGCTTTTGATTCTTTCACTTAAGAAAGGTGTACCGCCAAGTCAATGGGCTCGTTTGCCCTGAAGCCCAATCTTTAGGATCAGTGCTTCTTCTCCAACAGATTCTTGGGGACTCCTTTCTGCTTTTCCTTCGAACAACCAGAAACAGAGCAACACAAGTAAAAGAACAATAACACAACCACGACACAGGAACCCAGTTTTACGTGGTATCCGATATTGGGAGAAGAAGGATCCCAATATCGACTAATCCACGGCAAGAGATTCTCCTCTTGAGAACTCTTGCGTAACTACTAATGGTTTTTCTCAGTTTTACAATCCGATGAACACTCTTGACCAGCTCCCTGCTAAACAAGACGTTCAATCCTTCTGTGTGTCAACTCCCTGTCTACTCACAGAACTTCGAAGCAATTCTCCCTGATTTGCTACACTCAATTTTTCTCTATCAAGACTACTATTGACTCTCAACTCTGCAGCTTGATTTTGCCAGAAAAACGTGTAGCTGTTCAGTTGGGTATGGCTCGGCTAATATACTCTTCTTTGCTGCCCGTTGGCCTTGATCTCTCTTGATTGATTTGATTTCCTCCTCTCTTGGCGACTTTCCATGTTGGTAAGCTTCTTCTTTTGGTAAGTCTCGGAACCTTTGATACAGCTTGAGGTCTGAGATTTCTTAATCGATTTTGCCATTGACAGGCTTCCTTCAATAAGCTCCCCCTAAGCTTGTCAATGGCTCACCCTGTTGCGCTTGTTTTCCTGCACACACTCAACACACAAATTGGTGCAGTCTGTTCTATGCAATAACAACAAGAGGGAACACCTTTTATTTCATTGATAACTTTCAGAAACCTCAAAGACATGACACAAGACATAATTGACGCACTTGACACTCAACCAAGATTAACAAACCCAAACACTGCAATTTGAAAATACCAACTCGACTCTGCTAGACTACTACTGCTACGATCCTAATGCTCCCCCTTAGTTCAGCATCTGATGTTTCTTAAAAGGGATAATCGGGTGGAGTTTCATAATCAGAGATATCATCTCCTGAGCTGCTGTCAGGAGATATGGGATCGAAGTTGTCTGGTGCAGGCATGGCTTCATCATCTTCCAGAAGCTCCAGACGCTCCTTGCACACTTGAAGTCTAGTTGTTGATTCACTTCCAGCCTCCTTTCCTCGTCTGATTTCAAGGTCAAGTGCAGATACCGCAGCTTGTGTCAGTCCTGACATTAAGCCATCAGTGGCTTTTTGTGCAGGTTGTGCAGAGAAGACAAGGTAACTGGTATCTCCCCCTGAGCCAGAGAGAAGCTGACGGCGCCCAACATCAGCATTGAGACGATTGAGGACATGATTGGGACGTAGATCATCATGAATGTTGCAAACAACAACCTTATCACGAAGGTCAATGCCCAGACGATAAAGATAGCGCGTGATAAGCGGACCAAATGGAAGCGGACCGCTGTAACCACCATTCCCGTACTGAATCATGTGGGCAAAGACAAGAGAGGCATAGCTGATAGGTGAGCGAGAACGAGCATTGGACATAACCCAGAGATCAGAAGTATGGAGGATATCAGTGCTAGAGATGTCTCTGGGAAGAAGGCAGCGGGTAAGGAAGAAGTGGAAGACCTTAAGATCATCAGGTAAGCGACCAGCAGCTAGCATTGTGGGAAAGGCACGACCAATATCACGGATGAGATCATTCAGGGCAGTCCCAAAATCAAACCCAAGATCTACAAATTCGCCCTCAAAGCCAACCCGCCATCCTTGATGAGGCAGAGAGAGGACTGAGGCAAGCAGATCTGGAGTGACTGTGATCTCATGATCATAGACCAAAGTAGTGAAGGACTTTGGTTCAGCACCACGCCCCTGTCGGAGATTGACATAAAAGAGACGAACCGCCTCTGGACAGTGCAGAAACCGCTGGTCGTCCAGTAAGGCAGACCAACCGAGACCACGCAGGAGGGATGGAACATCCATATCATATTTGGAAAAGGCGGAGGGACTGATAGTGAACGATGGGTAGATAGGGCGGTTTCGAAAGCACCGAAGGTACCTGGAGTATACAACAGCACTCCGAAAACCTTGGTTCTTGAACATAACAGCAGATCGAAGCTGAGCATTGTTTGAGGACATTTTGCAATGGGAGAAGAAGATGTATCGCAAAAGAGTTGAAGTGATGGAAACAGATGAATGAGTGAGGACTTAAATACACACGAATGGAACATAAATGGTAATGTCCCTCATATGCCAGCCACACACTGCTGATTTTTCGTGATGGATGTGAGTGGAAGAACACAGGGAAGGAATCTGAAGGGAAAAAGGAAAGAAAGATCTGCTAGAATAGAGCCCTAAAGGATTTCTTCTATGTCTTCGAGAGAGAATAAGCCAAGTTCTCGTCGAATTGGGAGGAATTTATCAGTAGAAAGAGGTTTTGTAAATATGTTAGCCCATTGAAGATCAGTTCCTATGTATTCTAGGTGAATTTTTTCTTCTTGAACAAGATCTCGAATAAAGTGATACCTAACCTCTATGTGTTTTGTTCGAGAGTGTTGGATGGGGTTTTTAGTCATATTGATAGCACTTGTGTTGTCACACTTAACAGGAAGAGACCCAAGCTGAAGACCATAGTCTTCCAATTGGTATTTCATCCATAATAATTGAGTACAGCAAAATCCAGCTGCTATATACTCTGCTTCTGCAGTAGATAAAGCAACTGAACTTTGTTTCTTGCTGAACCAGGAAATGAGAGAAGAGCCAAGAAAGTGACAGGTACCCGACGTACTCTTTCTATCAACTATGCAACCAGCATAGTCTGAGTCACTATAGCTTATCAATTCTAATGGGGAAGAACTAGAATACCAAAGACCTAGAGTAGGGGTGCCTGCAAGATAACGAAATATGTGCTTGACTGCAGACAAATGACTTTCCTTTGGATTGCTTTGAAACCTAGCGCAAACACAGACGATATACATGATATCAGGCCGACTGGCCGTGAGATATAATAAGGATCCAATCATGCCTCTGAATTTTTTACTGTCTACAGATTTCCCAGACTCATCCTTGGTTAACTTGACAGTAGACCCCATTGGAGTAGAAGCAGATTTTAGATGTTCAAGGCCAAATCGTTTTAACATGTTATTGAGATATTTAGATTGATTAATGAAGGTTCCAAAGTCTGTTTGTTTCACTTGTAGACCTAGAAAGTAATTTAATTCACCCATGAGGCTCATTTCAAAAGCATTTTTCATACTGTTTTCGAATTCAGAGCACAATTGAGGACTGGTGGAGCCAAAGATAATGTCATCCACATACACTTGAACGAGAAGAGTGTCTTTATCTACAGTTTTGATGAAAAGAGTTTTATCAACTTTGCCTTGTCTAAAACCTTCTTCAATCAAAAAATTGCTTAATTTTTCATATCAGGCCCTTGGTGCTTGTTTTAATCCATATAAAGCCTTATTTAGTTTGTACACATAGTCTGGATGTTCAGGATCTTCAAAACCAGGTGGTTGTGATACATATACCTCTTCTTTTAAATCACCGTTTAGAAATGCACTTTTAACATCCATTTGGTAAAGTTTAAAACCCCTAGAAGCAGCATATGCACATAACAGTCTAATGGCTTCTAACCTAGCTACAGGAGCAAAAGTTTCATCAAAGTCAATCCCTTCTTCTTGACAATATCCTTGAGCAACTAAACGAGCTTTATTTCTAACAATGACCCCAATTTCATCTGTTTTGTTTCGAAAAACCCATTTAGTTCCAATTATTATTCTGTCTTTTGGTCTAGGCACTAAGTCCCAGACCCTGGTTCTGCCAAACTGATTAAGTTCATCATGCATAGCCATAGACCAGAATTCATCTTTTAAGGCATCATCAATATTCTTGGGTTCAACTTGTGAGACAAATGCAGAGTGCTCAACTGAATGCATGGATCTAGTGAGCATACCTTGTTTCAGATTTCCAATCACAAGAGATGGAGGATGTCTGCGCCTGATGTGTGGTGGCGCTTGAGGTTCAGGTCTTTCTTCTTGCTCATTCTCTGTAGTATTTGGTATTGCTTCCTTTTCTTGAGCATCTGGCAATTTCTTGTGGTCATTTCTAGTTCCTAAACCAAAATCATCATCCTCGTCCAAACTTTCTGCACACTTATCACAAGACTCATCAAATATCACATGGATGGACTCCTCAACCTTGAGGGTCCTTTTGTTATAGATTCTGTATGCCCTACTACTTTCAGAGTACCCCAGAAAAATTGATTCATCAGATTTTGAATCAAATTTTCCTAGACTGTCTTTGGTATTTAGAACATAGCACTTGCATCCGAATGGATGAAAGTAGCTTAAGTTAGGTGTCCTGTTCTTCCAGAGTTCATAGGGTGTTTTGTTTAATTTGGATCTAATGAGAGCTCTGTTTGTTACATAGCATGCAGTATTTATGGCTTCTCCCCAGAATTTCTTTGGTATGCCATAATCATTCAGCATAGTTCTAGCTATGTCGATTAGTGTTCTGTTTTTCCTTTCAACCACTCCGTTTTGTTGTGGTGTCCTAGGTGCAGAGAAATTGTGAGAAATACCCTTTTTATTACAAAATTTTTCAAATTTTTCTGACACAAATTCCCCTCCATGATCACTCCTTATGCTAACCACACCTAGTTGTTTTTCATTTTCTAGTCTCTTGACAAGTGTTTTAAAGGCTTTGTATGCTTCATCTTTGCTAGAGAGAAAAAGTACCCAAGTGAATCTGGAAAAATCATCCACAATCACAAAAGCATAGTATTTTCCCCCTAAACTCATTACATTGCTGGGTCCAAACAAATCTAAGTGAAGCAACTCTAATGGTCTAGTGGTTGAGATGACTGGTTTTGATTTGAAAGAGGCTCTAAACTGTTTTCCTTTAGCACAGGCATCACAGAAGAATTCCTTCTTGCTGTGTAGCTTAGGAATTCCTCTAACTAGATTCATGTTAACTAGTTTTGACAGAATCCCAACACTTATGTGCCCTAGCCTTCGGTGCCATTCAGTTTGATCATTCTTGTTAACAGTAACCAGGCAGGTTTCATTGAAAGCTGATTTATCCTCAAGATCAATTGTATACAGCTTTCCTTTGCGTTTTCCAGTGAAAATAAGCTTTTTGGTTTCGATATTTTCAACATAGCATGTGTCTTGTTCAAAAACGACTCTGTTTTCACTCCCACACATTTGTCCTATGGAGAGGAGATTGTGTTTTAAATCCTTGACTAACAAAACATTGCTAATAGATGGTACAGATCCTACTTGACCCTTACCAAGAATTTCAGTGCTATAGTTATCACCAAAAAAGACTTTTCCCTTGTTTTCTAAATGAAGTTTTGAAAAAAGATGTTTGTTACCGGTCATGTGATGTGAGCACCCACTGTCGAGTATCCATACGCTGCCTTTCGTGCTCACTTGAAGACAGGTCTGAAAACAAACAGATAGGCCTATTTAGACTTGGGCATCCAAACCAGTTTAGATGCCGTCCATGATTGATAGTCTTTCAGATGTGTTTTATTTGTTTGTCTTATGTTATGCTCACGGATGACTTTGTTTTTAGTCTCTTTGGCAATTCTCTTCTTACAATGAGAAATAAAATGGCTAGTTTGATGACAGTAAAAGCATTCTGAGTTTTTGACTCTTTTAAACCATTTATCTTGACTCACTTGACCCTTTATTGAATCATACCTATTTGACCTGTTTTTAATCCAAGTGTTCTTGCTCGATCTCTTTTCTGTTTCTTTAATCTTCTTCTTTAACAAAGCATTTTCTTCCTCTGATTTTCTGAGTTTGTTTTCTATACTTAGATTTTCATTCTTCAATGCTTCAAGCTCAGATTCTAATGCTTCACATTTGGCTTTGGTTATCATATGTTTATGCTTAACATTTACAAATTCCTTTTGAATGTCTCTGATAGTTTCATCTAATTGATCATTATCACTAAAGGAGTCAGAGTAGTAGGATCTTACCTGTGAAGCTTCTTCATCACTTTCATCGACAGCCATGTATGCACTATATCTCTGACAGGTTTCATCCTCGTCTTCCTCCTCTTCGCTGCAGCTCCAGGTAGCATATGCTTTCTCCTTCTTTGTCAGGGGACAATCTGCCTTGATGTGTCCCTGCTTCCCGCATTTGAAACATCCAGCTTGAGACTGGATTCGTTCTGAGCTGGCTCCTTCCTTTTTGTTTCGGGTCATATGTCGATTTCCCTTGCCAAACTCCTTATCATTTTCTGCTTCTCGTTGTCTGCCAGGGAAGTTTCCTCTCTTCTTTTCCCTTCTTATCCTTAGCAGTTTAGCAACATGCTTGCTAAGCATAGCAAGTTCTTCTTCTTCCATCTCGTCGAGGCACTCAAATTCATCTTCCTGTGAAGTTACTTTGAAAGCTATCCCTCTTTTTTCTTTCTTCGGCTCTTCCAGATCCTCCCTCTTTAATTTTTCTTCATGCGTGATCAGGGAGCCGATTAGTTCATCCAGACTCAACTTGGTGAGATCCTTTGACTCTTCGATTGCTGTGACTTTTGGAGTCCACTTCTTTGGTAGTGCCCAGAGCACTTTCCGAACCAAATCGGCACTGGCGTATTCGACCTCCAAGTTCCTCAGGCTGTTCACTATAGTAGTGAATCTCTCGTTCATATCCTTAATCGATTCGTCAGGCTTCATGACAAATGACTCAAAGTCCTGCTTGAGACTATTTATCCTCGAAACTTTGACGTGAGAGGTTCCTTCGTGCGCAATCTGCAACTTTTCCCAGATTTCCTTTGCTGATTTGCATCCCGTCACTCTGTGGTACTCCTCTGGCCCCAGAGCGCAGTACATCAGATTTGTAGCCTTCAAGTTCAGTTGAAAATTCCTCTTATCTTCCTCTGTCCACTTCCCACGAGTTTCTTTGACTTCAAGCGGACCATCGAGCACTATGTTCCAAAGATCTGGATCAGTGGAACATATGAACAACTCCATCCGGTTTCTCCAGTAGCCGTAGTGTACACCTTCGAACCGCGGTGGACGAGTTTGTGAAAAACCGTCGGCCATGAAAATTCCAGCTGATGTTGATCCCGAGCTCATCTTCTCCGAGGGCGGTTGC